AGCCACCTTGAGCTTAGTTGGCATTGCACCTTTCCCAATGTGTGGTGTGTTGTTACAGGGATTGTGCTTATTTTTTTTATCTGTACAGTCCTTTGGCTGCAGACATCTTTTCCAGCTTGTAGAGTTAACAGGGCAGCAGAAGTTGAAATGAGATCATTGCCTTTAATACAGTCTATTCCTATGTATCACCTTTGCTTTGCAAATGACCTTCTAGCTTGACTATGACTCATCACTAAAAGAAACCATACCTGGACATATGTACTGGTCATCTGAGACTAACAGACAATATATTCACCCTGGAGGGTGTTTACTAAGCTGGTGCAGTGGTGTTATTTGTCCATATAATTTCTGACTGGAAAAATAATTCTTTCTTATGCCCCCCTCTTTCTCTCTCTCTCCCTCCCTCTTAATCTATCATAAATCTTATTTCAGACACTCTTAAAATTAACTTTTCAATCCATTGTTCCAAAATATCTATGTGCAATGTTAAAATATTTTGCTCAATTCCATATTAGTAAAGTCAAATGTAAGTATTCCTCTCCTTTAACTGTAATCTTTAGCGCTTTCTTTCCCTCTAAGTGTCTGACCTTCAATGTCCCACTCCATCATTTTTTTAAGAATTCAAAATAAAAGCACTTTTCCAAAGAAAAGATTCATATGATTAATTCCAGAATCTTATTTTAGTTGGGAATTTATATACAAAACAACTCTTTCTTTCTTTTTAGTTGCTGGTGAAATAAATTCTTCACCCAAGTTTTTATAAATCAACTATTTTGTCTTTTTTTCTAATAGTGTTTCTTGTAGGCAAATTATATTTTGTTTTTAAATTTTTAATAACATTTTTTTTTCAGGAGAATTTGCTACATTTATATTCCACATTAAGCATTTCTAATCCATAATCAAGCCAAAAAAATAGAAAAGTCAATATATGTAGAACCTAGTTCAGTACCATCCCTTTCAGTTTCCTGTTGTACCTGCTAAAATTTTGGGGTAGTCTCATCTGACATCTCCGTTTGAAACTCCTTAAATTCTAGAATTTCCTTTGCTCTCTGGATGATAGTCAGTCAAAACCTCTGCACATTAAAAATAAACACACTTTTTAATTTATCTCATAGAAATGGAATAATATTTTTGTTGGATTCTAACTGGAATTTACAACTTTATTATCAATCTTCAGCCTTATATTAAAATGCTTCAAAACTTGATCTCTTGACTTCTTCCTGAAAAACATCTCTTGGAATATTTCTGATTTTCACAAATCATCATTTTATCCTATATACCTTATCGATTTCTTCCTGTGTATCCTCTTTATCCCAATAATTTGCAAAACTTTTAATAATGTTTCTCTAATACCTTTACCAGATTCCTCTGAAATTGCTTTAAATCTCAGGGCTAATGGCAGCACCTAGTGCCTGTGCAAATGGGGCCACTAGCGCGCATGGAGGTTGCACAGCCTATTTGCACATGCACATGGGTGCTAGCAGCATGGCTAGCACCTGTGTGCATACGCAAACAGGCCCACTAATGCCATGCGGGTTGCATGGCTGTTTGCTCATGCGCAGGGGCACTAGCAGCAGTGGTTAGCGCCTGTGCGCCTGCACAAATGGGGCTGCTAGCACCATGCAGATGCACGTGGCCCCATTCACGCGCAGCTCCATTTGCATGCATGCACGTGCACACACAAATTTCCCAGCTGCTCCCTTTCCCTCAGGGCTGCCAGCATGAAAATGTTGATGACCACTGATCTAGAGAACAAATGGGTGATCTCATGATCTTTCCTTGCCCAGAAAGTTTGTGCAGACCAGAATTGTTCTTCTGGTCACTGATCTCCACCATAGTGCTGCCCTCATTCTTTCAGGGATATCTAGTGCACTACAGATCCTCACCTGGAAGCTAAAGATCCACTTAACAAATGTGGCAAGAAAAGTCGTAAAATGGGGCAAAGCTCATTTCACAAATTTCTCACGTAACAACATAAATTTTGGGTTCAATTGTGATCATAAGGACTACCTGTACTACAGTACTGTAGGCTGACTGGTAAAATACATCAACGCTGACACGTTTGAGCATTTTGGTTATTCCCACTATAGTTAGATTTGCAGAAGCTCTTTTCTCACAGGATCTTTTCCACTGCCATTTGTGAATCTGTCTCTGAGCCCAACTAGAATCAAGAAATACAGAGGCTGCCTGCTTACTTAAAGAAAATTGATGGAGGAGAAATAATAAGGTCCCAGAACTGGCCATGGTCTTCAATTTAGGCAGAAGAGCTTGGCAGGAACCTGAAGGTGCCAATCCCTGGTGCTGCTCAGCATACCAAATATTTGAAACACATCAGAACTGCCTACTTTGCTTGATATAAACCAGTGTTTCTCAACCTTGACAATTTTAAGGCATGTGGACTTCAAGTCCCAGAATTCCACAGCCAGCAATGCTGTGGAGTTGAAGTCCACATGCCTTAAAATTGTCAAGGTTGAGAAACACTGATATAAACGGATGAGATACAAGAAGTCAGTGTGCTGAATTCCACATCACAACACAGCTGGGAAAAGGGAACACATGATACCATATCTCTCCTTTAATTATCTGCTGAGGATAAAGATTTAATGTGTCTCAAAGGTTCTCTCTTTATTTAATTGGTTCAGGAAGGTTACTCATTCAGATTTAGTTCTCATAAACATCTCTATGAGGTAATTAAACACACACACAGAGAGAGAGTGATTTCTCTCCAAACCATGCTGGAAGCGTTGGGGTATACCAGTGATTTGAAAGTAAGTCTGCAATTTTCAAATTAAATAGTCTAACTTGAAATGGAAATGTAACTTCTGAAATATCTTGGTTCAATTGCAATTAAATAACTGTTAAATGGTTCATAAACACTTAATTTTTTTTAAATGACGCACTTAAAAATGATTCAGAGCTCATTTGATTTAATGGACTCTGAATTATGCAAAACATATGTGACATTCTTGTTACATCTGCTTTGGTGACCCAAGCTAGCTCCTTGAGGTTGAACAAGGATAACATTTTGATTAATTAGATTTGGGAAAGTTTAACAAAGGGATTGGTAAACTGGTGTCCTTGAGATTTTATATTGCAACTTCTATCAAGTTTAGGTAGCATGACCAGTGACAACAGATCATGGTAGATGTAGTCCAAATATATGTGGAAAGAAAGCTAATCTACAGTATTGCCTCCTTCTCAGGTAATATGTATTGGGTATGAAAATTTAGACAAGGGCAATCTGAGCCATAAAAATCTTCATAGTGATAACCAGCACCTAAATTGGACCCTATTGGCAGCTCAGCAGAGGTTATTTTACCTTCCACAGGTAAACAGTTGTATTTTGCATCAGATGCAGTTTCAGATAACTTTCAAGGGCAATTTCATGTAACTGAATTTCAGTACTATAGCCAAGGGGTGATGACAAAGGCATGAATCACTGTGGTCAACATTTCCTGGTCCAGGAAAGGCCAATGCTATCAAAGACTCTCTTGGCTATAGACTCTACCAGGAATGATGGAGTCCAGAAGAAGGCTCAGTTGTCTATGGGTTTCTTGGAGGGAAGTGCAGGTAATCCTTGACTTACAACCTTTCATTTATTGACCATTTGAAGTTATAACTGCACTGAAAAAAGTGACACAATCATTTTTCACATGTATGGCTGCTGCAGCATCCCCAGGGTCACATGATCAGAGTTCGGGTGCTTGGCAACTGGTGTGCGTTTATGACAGTTGCAGATGTAGATCACCTTTTCTGACCTTCTGATAAAGTCAATGGGGAAGCCAGATTCACTTAGCAACCACGTTACTAACTTAACTCCAGTGATATCACTTAACAACTGTGGCAAAAAGGTCGTAAAATGGGGGGGGGACTCAATTAACAACTGTCTTGTAAAGCTGAAATGGAAAAGTAAGAAGGGTGGTACAAAGCAGAAGGCAGATGATGGTGATGCTTTAGGGATAGGCTGGTTCTAGGCGTCCTCCTAGGTATGCATTTTTTAACCTCACCCTTCCCAAGAAGCCATAGGCAGGTGGCTATGCTATCTAGAGACAGAATTTATCTATTTTGTACTATATATATGGATGCCCATTGGGCAGACAAGTTACTCTGGGTGCTAAAATTAAAAGAAATATTATGGGAAAGAAAAGAGAAATGACAGCTGATGGTGGATATGCTTCATGTCTTTCCCTCCCTCCCTGATGACATTAGTGGGTGGGCTGGAAGTAGAATCTACTTCTTCAGGATCCTTTAACTCCTTCATTTGTCTTTAATGTCTTGGCAGGTGGGGGGGGGCAAAGATTGGTCAAATGGGCCTGATCCTTTGCCTAAATCTGAGAAAAGCATGTGGACAAGAGTGTTGAGGGGCCACTGCTGCCCTCACAAGCATATTATTTCTACCTTTGCGATGAGACCCATTTTTACCAGTGGTTTAAAATGAATATTTTGATATGAAATTGTTTCCTTCACCAGTACCGCTTTCATGATCAAGAAGGAATCCACTTCAGTGTATGCATTACATCCGCATCTACATAACATGAGATGTAATGCTTATTTGCATTAGGAAACTGGAAACACATTTAGGAAACTGGAACAAATCATAATCTCAAAATGCCCGACAGAGTCAACATAAATATATCTGCATGCCTTACGACCAACCCACAAAGCCTGTTTCCTCCGACCGAACCCTTCCCTCTTTTCCCACCAAGCTGCGCCCGAGGCGAGAGCAGCCTGACGCAATCAGCTGCCTCTGTTTCCCTCGAAAGCTCCTTGGCAAGTTGCATCATCTGGTTTTGAGACAGTAGACCAGGGAAAAACCAATCAGCGGGCGAGCTCTGCTCATATGTGACAGATCGCTTTGACCAACCCGATCTTCGTAAGCCGTTCTCAAGGCAGGACTATTTGCTTCTGAAAGCGCTGATTGGACAAGAGACGGCGGGAACCGCGATACCGTGACAACTGGGCGGGGTTTTACCGGCAAGCTGGTATTTAAATGCTGGAGACCTCGGGACTAATGCAGTTCCTGTTTTTGCTTTGTGTGTTAGGATGGTCGGTCGCCCACTCTGTGCAAAATCCCAGACTAGCTGAGTTTATCCTTCAGTCCATTCCCGGAGATCAGATCCACCAGCGCACCTCCTCCTGCGGAGTCATGAAGGGGGATCCGCATTCTCGGCACCTTTCCAGCGGAACAGAGCATTCGTCCAGGCTTCAGAAAGACGAAGAGGAAGAGGAGGATCCCCCTGGTGCAGAAGAAGGGTCGCCCAAGTCTCCACTCTGGGTCTTCGGTTACGGTTCGCTGGTTTGGAGACCTGATTTTGAATTCACTTCCCGCAAAGTGGGCTATATCCGGGGCTACAGCCGCCGCTTCTGGCAAGGAGACACCTTCCACCGGGGTAATGAAAAAACGGTAAGGGCTGCCCTTCCCAAGTGGGACTATGTGGGCGGAAAAGTGGATGATCCTAACCTAATGGATGATGTGCTGCTCCTGAGATTAGAGATCCCACCGGTATAGTGGAAGGGATGATTGGATGGGTGATGGAACTGGAAAATAAGAGATAAACCAAGAATTTGGTGTTTCAGGGAGTTGGGGGAGGAACTGTAGGTTCAGCTAAGTCCACAGATGTGGAGTCTATTGATTTCCCTTGGCTTGACATTGTGCAGAATTTGGAGAGCCTCCCAATGCTGAGGTAGTAGGGAAACTGCTGGACTGCACCAATGGTGCTTCCTTGAGATGGCAGAACTTGTGCTTCTGATGTTGGTCTGCAAAACAGTATTGCATATTAAAACTGCCTCTTTTCTCTCCCTTCTCTTAGCCTGGAAGAGTGGTCACCCTTCAGGAAGATTATAATGTAAGTATTTTGTGCCTGCATTCTGAAGCAACTGGCATGCCTATCAAAAGTTCTTTTTGGAGGGAGTGAAGAGGGCTTAAAACCAAGTAATTATTTTGAACTACCCACCTTCTTTTGCTGTAGGCAGGGGAAAGGTGGAGAGTGAATTGTATCATTGCAACTAGAAGTTTGGTAGTTCTGTTACTTGACATGCAGCTGTAATTATCCAATTATCATTTGGATGAGTGATTATTTGATCAGTAGAATACTGCTTATCTAGGAGTCCAGCCAATGTTTGTGAATTATAATTTAAATGATAGAAAGCTGAGATCTTGACAATTTTGGAGAAAAGGTAGCACTGAAAAGAATTCAGCACGTGGCTAAGATACTGTGGTCATCCTGGCCCTTTGCAAAAGTTAATAGTATTAATTGCTGTGTGGATAATTCATTTGGAAGGAATGAGTAGCCATTTCAGAACTGGTTTTTTTTTTTTTTCATCACAAACCTGACTTTTAGCCTAACTGGTCTGATATTGTTTAGAAATGAAATGAAACGTGGCAGATAAATTTTTTTAAGTTTTTGCATTTGCTTATTTGTATAGGTTAGGTAGATAAGTAATTCCGTTTAATGAAGCAGACATCTAAGTAAATTATAATTTGATTTCTCATTGCAGGGGTGCACATGGGGTATTGGCTATGAACTTCGCGGGCATCAAATTGCTGCTGTCCTTAAGTATTTGAACATGCGGGAAGCAGTGCTTGGAGGCTATGACACCAAGCTGCTGAAGTTTTATCCCCAGGAAGAAGAGGCAGATGAGCCTATTCTAGCCCTTGTTTATATTGCAACACCTCAGAATCCCTCCTATCTGGGGCCAGCATCTGAAGAGGATATTGCAGCTCAAATTATAGTCTCCAGTGGGCGCGCTGGCCACAACATCGAGTACCTTCTGCGGCTGGCGGACTTCATGCGCTACTGTTGCCCTCAAGTAGAGGATGAACATTTGTTCTCGATTGAGGAAGCCCTGATCTCTATCCTGCCCTGTATATATCCTGCTGAGGACCCCTTGGTACAATGAATTTGACAGTATTCACAAAAATGATTGGATGAACACTTTTTAACCAAGGTCATGACTGAATACGTGATCTAATGCAACTGAAGCCAGGTTTAAAAACCTGTAGATGTATAGACATTGGGAGAGAAAAGTAGTGGAGCAACGGTGATAGAACTACGGATTAAGTAGCATTGCACTCCAGCCTTGAGTAGAGATTGGAGAGATCCATTGCTATTCTACCAACTGCCAGCAATACAAAACTGGTTGAAACATACTTCCCAGTCTCACTTGTACACTCCAGAGATTAAGTCCTACTGAATTTAATAGGGCTTACTTTCAGAGTTCATGCAAGTGGGACTGCTGCTGTTTTGCACTTATTCACAGTGTTCTTTGAATTGCTGAAGAGAAAGGGGGATGAAGATAAACTATGTTTTCCTTTGCATGTTTCTGCAGCCCTCTTCATCCAAAGCAGGGCCATGATTATAATGCTATGAGCCAGGGGTAGTCAACCTTGGCTCTTTTATGACTCGTGGACTTCAACTCCCAGAATTCCTGAGCCAGCTGGCTCAGGAATTCTGGGAGTTGAAGTCCACGAGTCATAAAAGAGCCAAGGTTGACTACACCTTCTATGAGCTTTGTTCTACCTCACAAGCTGATGCACATGTGAAGTTGTGCAGGTTCTCAAAGGTTCCTCCAGCCTTGGTCACAATATCCTGTTTGCTCATATGCTGGGCTTTTAATAGAAAATGAAATTGATTTTAGACTTTGGTGGGGCCAAACTTCCTTAGACGGTTAGTGTACTATTTTTATAACTTGAAAATGTATTTATTGTAATGAAGATGTGTATTTCATGGAGAGAAATGTCCAAATGTCCTGCAGAGCGGGGCAGGTTGCTAGCTTGAAAGTTGGCAGGGGAAATTGGTCTTTAGGTTTTAGATTTTTTTTTCCTTCTTCTTAGAGGGGAACTGCTACAGGGTTACTTGTTTGAGACAGCTTTCGGTAAATAGAACTGTTGCACTACCTACACACAATAGATGCTTTTACACTACAATAATATTTTGTGTCTGCTTATGTAACTGCAGGGTGTATGTCTCTTGGCATACCATGCTCAAGTTCTGCCTGCATTTTAAATAATGAAGTGGGCATTTAATGTCTGGTTCTCCAAAAATCATAAGAAATCAAAGTTTCTGAGAATATTAAATGTGTTCATGGAAAGAAAGATCTGTGCTGAATACTGTAGTCTGAAAGGCACAATTCAATAAAGCCAATAATAATTGCTTTCTGATACAGCCTTTGGGAGAGACTTCATTCTGGAATTACTTTGTTAAAACAAAGTGGAAAATTACTGTTAATAGGAATTATATCTTTTATCTATAAATAAACTGAGTCTGAAATTATATTGTCTGAAATTTCTTTTCTTTGGTTTTGCATTTGAACAGTATTAAAACTATTTGTCATGGGATTTCATGTACATGTATAGAAATGGAATTAGTTTAACCACAGCTATTGCAATTACCTTCATAGTGAAGAACTCATTGTTTATGAAACTATTTCCAAAGCTTTGCATCAGGAGTACCCAAGTCATAGCTTTACAATCTGTTAGTTTTTGCAACTTCCTATATTTTTTGTGAACAGAATGCAAGTGAATCATGCTAAATTATTCTAGTTTTGAAAAGCAACATTGTCAAGCTTGCTTCTAGCTGCATTGTCACTAATATGTCTATTAGGGCAGGGGTCTCCAACCTTTTTGTTTTGGTGGCCTGGTGGAAGAGGAAGGAGCAGGCGCCTTACCCACGCATGCGCAAACATGAATGTAGCTACACGTGCTGCGCACGTACAAACAGGCTGCGAGCATGCACACATGCAAATGGGGCTGCAAGCATGCACACAAGGCTCTCAGAGACAGTGCCTGTGAGAAGCTTGTGGTGCTGCCTCCTTCAGGCTCACGATGCTACCACCAGCACAAGGATTGTGCCGCGGCCTGCAGTGATGCTGCCCTGGCACGAGGCTCATGCAGCCTGCAGCGATGCCATCCAACATGACGCTCGGGCTGCCACCGTGTGAGGCTCACACTGTGGCCCACAGTGATGCCACCCCGGCACGAGGATTGCACTGCGGCCCGCAGTGATGATGTCCCTGGCACAAGGATTGTGTCACCGTTCCCAAGCGGGGGGTCACACCATGGCCCACCTGCCACTTGTGCTGCCACCATCCACACAAAACTAGCAGTACTGCTGCTACCCTTACACTTGCGGCAACAGTGGCACGGGTGTGTGTGTGCGGTCTCTGCCCAGCTACTCATGTGGCCCGGCAGCCAAGAGGCCGCAGCCTGGTAGTGGGCCGTGGCCCATAGGTTGTGGACTTCTGTATTAGGGCTATGCAATGCTCTGGAGATTATCTGAAGGATACTAGTTTAAGTAGCACCTTCTTGCACCTTTAAAGCAGCTGCATCTTTTCCCAAAGTTGTATAGCTCTTGTTGCAATAGTCTGCACTGCAGTAGCATAAATACATCTTGTTTATGCCGACTTTGTGCTCTACATCTGAATTTTCCAAATTGAAACCTTGAAAGACTGATCAGAACAAGTGATGAAAATAGACTCCCTCTACATGCACTATGGCCTTTGGGTAAAGCAGCCACATTTTTGCTACACAACAGTAACACCTAGTGCCTCATTCAATCTTGGAGCTGCAGCTAATCCTCAGAAGCCCTTGGCTGTGCTGCTGCTGGTTGATCACCTGCCCTTTCCAAAGTAGAGACAAAGCTGCCTCCTTTATGTGGCTGAAGTACCATTTGAATTTCCAATTACCATGGTATTCTCAGTGTTAACTGGTGGCCATGCTGGCTAAGGATGATGGAAGTTGGGGGTTGAACATTGTGGTTGAACTGAGGTTAGGCACATTGCTCAACCTCAATTGAAGTCTTCCAGAAGAAAAGAGCAAACAGGTCACCTAGGGACATCTTACCCAAAGGAGCTGACGCTGGCAGCAAGTGGCATGGAGCCCCTGTAAACAAAATAGAACCATCCAGGACTGTTTTTATTCTATCAAAAAAAACAACAACCTGCTTTTAGAGCATTAATAAAGAGTTGGGTTTCTTTGCAGCAGTTTCAGCATTTTGAATGTTGGAGGCAAGGACAGGAGCTGCATTTTGCAGGTTTAGAGTAATGGCCTAGAGAAGTCACACTCTGACACCCATATCGCAATAATGAGGTCTGGCTCAGCAGCTCATTTGGGTCACTAAGTGCCCTATAGCAGACCTGGCTTCAACCAGGCTGGCTGATATTAAAAGAAAGGAGGTCATTGGTGTGCAATTTCATACTCCCCCTCCCTCTTTAAGATACTTTAAAACTTTACCCCCACATTATGTTTGTGTCAATTATAATTCAATGGAATGATCACAAGATTGGGTTCTTTCAGCCTCTGCCCAAAGAAACTTATGTGACCTCCTGATTATTTTGTTTACTTTTTCATACAAAATGTTTCAGATGCAGCCATATATTTTTTTATTTATCATATTTAGAGACTGCCCCTCTCCCTCATAGCTGCATTCTCAACTCGGATGCAGGATTAGAACAAGTGCTCCAGGAGTCAGTCATTTGAGGACAGAGGCCGAGTTCAATCGCTTAATTTTATCCTGACAAGCATGCCAAGGAAGGTTTGCAGGAGGACAACAAGGAATTTCCAAGAAACAAGGGTGGGGAGAGGGAAGTGCCTTGCTGGGCATCTTCCTGCTTATGTGAAAAGTGATACGTGTGTTTTCCCAAACTCTAAATGGTGGGCCCACAAAGAGCAACTGAAATCACTGTAGAACAGACATGTCAAACACAAGGCCCGGGGGGCCGGATGCGGCCCGCAAAGTGGTTTCATGTGGCCTGCGAAGCCATCCTGGAAACAGTGAGGGAATGGCCCCCATTGCCTTGGCCCTGGCCCAAGGCTGGCCAGGAGCCAATGTACAATTTTGTGGTGGCCATCTATGCTGAAACGCATTCAATCTTAGCTCCACAAGGCCGTCTGAAAACATCAAGGGACCGGCCCCTGCCACATTGGCCCCTCCCCCTGGGTGCATGCTGGGGAGGTGTCACTCTTTGTGAGGAATGAAGAAATGGACCATGCCTTGGCACTTGCCCCGGTCCCACCCCCTTCTGCCAGAGACCTCAGATCTGTCCCACTCCTGCCCAGGCCCCCACAGACACCCTTGACGCGAACAATGTAGAGCTGGCCATGCCCACCCAGTAGGCCACACCCACCCCATCCATGCCCACCCAGTAGGCCACACCCACCCTGGTCACAGCCCCCCAGCCCCCCAAGGGCAACCGCAATGCTGATGCGGCCCTCAATGAAATTGAGTTTGACACCCCTGCTGTAGAACAAGTGGTTTCAGTTGCATTGTATAGTCTATAGGCAGAAAACAGGTCTTTAAAGAAGTTTTCAAAAGAATTAAAAGCATACAATTCACAAGCTCCAGCACTGATATGAACAGCTAGTCAACCTATTAAGGAATATTTACCATGAAGATGGTGGAACAGAGGAAAAGCTGCCAAATTGGGGAATGAACACAGACACATACACAAACACACACACACATTCCTGAATAACAGAAAAAAAGGTACACACACAACCACAAAATTCTGCCCAATAATAATGCTTATATATGTATGTGTATACAGTATATATGTGTATGTAGGGGTATGTGTATATATGTATATATACCACATATATGCAAACTAAACTTAAGAGAATAGAAAGGAGTAAAAACTGCAGGGAAAAAGAGAAAAAGAAGAAAAAGTGAGAATATATAGGAAAAAAATATATAACGAAGTGACTTCCAACCTTATCAAAAGTATGAACAAATTTAATGATTCTTCGTTCCCTCTAAGGCAGGGGTCTTCAAACTTGGCCCTTTTATGACTTGCAGACTTCAACTCCCAGAATTCCTCAGCCAGGCATGCTGGCTGAGGAATTCTGGGAGTTGAAGTCCACAAGTCATAAAAGGGCCAAGTTTGAAGACCCCTGCTCTAAGGCTACAAACATTTTTCTGTTCATACCATATCCCCTCTCTTTTCGATAAACAAATTCATAAAACATCATCTTCTCAGATCTAGTATGAGCAGAAAGTGCATAGGATTGTCAGAGGAAACAACATGCTTGTTTTAATCTTGATCATATAAGCCAACTTTATATTTCTTCTTTTTACTTCTAAGTTTTCACCGTTCATTCACTATTGTCATAGGATTTGATTTAATCGCTTCTTTGTCCTACTGCAGAGAGTTCTTTAAGATTTTAACAAGCATCTTTTGTAAATCCAGTAAGGAAAAAAAATATCCAGGTTGTTCTTTTCGTTTATCATTTGTATTTCCTTTTTAAATTTTAAAGTCTTAGACAATTTCTTTGATACATCCAGCAAAGCACTTTTTTCTAAGTTACTCTCTTGCCTGTAATCCCATTGTCATCACTACTGTATTTTGTCAGCTGTTTCACATCTGTCATTTCTTCAGA